CGCATAGTTAAAAGTTCACACTAATTCATCCAAAAAAGAAAAATAGTTATTGGTGCTCTGATTATTTGTTCTGGGTGGACTAGTTTAATCTTATGCCGTAGACATATTTTTCAAAATTTAAATCTTGGATTCCTGAAATTTTAAATTATTTACTGCAATTTAGGAACATTTTTTAGTTGCAATTTAGGAATATTAATCATGTGTATGCACATGCCTGACCTGACATGGAGATAGGCCAAACCTTCTAGCATAGTTAAAACTTCACACTAATTATTCTCAAAAGGAAAATAGCTATTTGGGGCTCTGATTATTTGTTCTAGGTGGACTAGTTTAATCTTATGCGGTGGGTACAAATTTAAAAAATTAAAATCATGGATTCCTGATTTTTCAAAAAAATTAACTGCAATTTAGGAACAATGTTTTACTTGCAAATTAGAAACATTAATAATGTGTACGCACATGCCTGGCCTGACATGGAGATAGACCTAAGCTGATCTAGCATAGTTAACAGTTCAGACTAATTCATCTAAAAAAACGTTCGGACCAATTAGCAGACTACACATTTTTGTTGCAGCTATAGAGGGTGGTGCACTAGTAATATGTAGTGGAGCAGCACACATTAAGACGAGGGCAGTGTGGTGCATTAATCCTCACCTTTGCCGATTAAATTTGATGACACTAAAATAGCTAACTTTCCAACTTCAACAAACGCTGGATGGAGAGAGATGGTGGTGCAGGCTTCAAATGCAGTTAACATTCCCAACATGTGCCTAGTAAATGAGGTCTGCTCCTAGTAAATGAGTTGGGTCACGTTTGTCAAGCATGTGGCCCCTTATGCATTGATTGTTTTGTGGAATACAGATTCAATACTGCAAGGAGGAATATTCAACATACGTGATTTGCACTGCTTATGGTATGAATACGATACAAATCTGAGAGAAATGGATGGTGAGATAAAGACCTCGCGTGGCGCCATGTTCACCTATGCATTTTCGTATTTAAAAGTGCTATCTTATCCATGGCTTGATTGGCTACCCAAGTCCTGAAATAAAAAAAAGGAACGATTTTGTGTGAGAAATAAACATGGATTTGAGAGTCTGACTTGTAAGTGAAACAATACCTTAGTCTGCAGCTGGTCATTTTGATATGCTGGCCATTCCGAGTTCGGTATCAATACAGAACTATACATACAGTTTAAAGTTAATGGAAGTGAATGACCTATACATGTTCGTCTTAATTTTTAACGACTAACTAAGTAAATATACCTGACTTGGTTGAGTGCCATAATAGAAATATGGTTGTTGTGGTTGCAAGCTGAGTAACTGCTAAAAAGAAGTAGCATCTGCCTGCGGTAGTTGAGGCAGGCCGTGATGCAATACTTGCAAATTATAATTCTGTGGTTGTGGCACTGGTGTCATATTCTGAGGAAGTAGACGCAAATTGTAGCTCTTTCCTTTGTTTCTGTTTAATCTTGTCTCCTCCATATGATGAGAGTGTTAATAATTTGCAGATTCAAAACACAACAAACCTATGGATGATGAAGTCGCGGGAGCTCCTTCCATGCCGAAGAACACCGTAGATGCTGGTCCACTGAGAGGGCAATTCTCTATCGATCCTGATCTATTCTTGTGTGATCCACAATGGAGTAGATAGATAGGAGAAAGGATGTTCGAGATTTTGGTGGCAATATGTTGATACGCGGGAGAAAGAAAGGCAGTTTTTCTGATTTTCTGTAATTAGTGAGATACGAGCTGGTCGTTTTAGTGGTGGGGTCCACCAGGCCACGTGTTGGCTGCTGGTTGGCCCTTCACGATAGTGCGTGCAGGGATCCCAGCAGGAGAGCCGAACACCTGTCCCCCCGCATCTGCCCATGCATGTTGCACCATCTTGTCGTATCCATTGTGTTTAAGCCGAGGCGAGCGGGGATGCAACCAAGGCGAGCGGATCCAGCGCTTGACGGGATGTAGCCGAGGTGAGCGGATCCGGCGCTGGAGGGGATGCAAGCGGCGCGAGCGGATCCAGTGCTTGAGGGGATCCAGCCGAGGCGACGGATTCGGCGCGGGAGGGGATGCAGGCGAGGCGAGCAGATCCAGCGCTTGAGGGGATCGGGAGGGGGAATTGGGTGAGTCGGGCGTGTCGGAGTCCTATATTTCAGGTGTCCGGACTCCCGCAAACGTGCCATACTTTTGTCTCCAATTTACCGGAGAAATCGTGTCCTAATCATCCCGCCGACCAATACAGGTCGGCGTTGAATGACTTTCACGGTTCGGACAGTTACGGAGGTTTACGGGTCCGGCCGTCGCCGTCCACCCTCCGTCGTTCGTGAAGGATGTATGCGTGTAAACGACATCACCTCACCCTCGTCCAACCAATAATTATCCTGCTATCTACTTTTCAGCAGTGGCCGATTGTACGTCTGCATCTCGATCCAGCGCTAGCTGTGCTCGTGATTCTATTTGTCTAGGCCAGCGTACAACAAGTAAAGTATCCTCTACTTCGTGTTGACTTGTCGTACGGCGCTCGGCGCGGCCATGGCAGTACAGCCGCTGCACTTCGTCCTGGTGCCGCTCCTCGCGCCGGGCCACGTCATCCCCATGCTCGACCTGGCGCGCCTCCTCGCCGGCCGCGGCGGCGCGCGCGTCACCGTGGTCCTCACGCCCGTCAGCGCCGCGCGCAACCGGGCCGTCCTCGAGCACGCTCTCCGCGTGGGGCTCGCCGTCGACGTGGCCGAGCTCCGGTTCCCGGGGCCGGCGCTGGGGTTGCCCGAGGGGTGCGAGAGCCACGACATGGTCACGGACATGTCCCTCTTCACGCTCTTCTATCAAGCCGTCTGGCTGCTCGCCGGGCCGCTGGAGACGTACCTCCGCGCGCTGCCACGGCGGCCGGACTGCCTCGTCGCCGACACGTGCAACCCGTGGACGGCCGACGTCGCGCGCCGGCTTGACATTCCGCGGTTCGTGTTCCACGGCCCGTCGGCGTTCTTCCTCCTGGCGCATCATAGCCTGGCCAAGCACGGCGTGCACGACGACAACGACAGCGTCGCCGGCGACTTGGAGCAGTTCGAGGTGCCTGATTTTCCGGTCCGCGTCGTCACGAGCAAGGCCACGTCGCTTGGGTTCTTCCAGTTTCCTGGGCTGGAGAAGGAAAGGCGTGACACGCTGGAAGCCGAGGCCACCGCCGACGGCTTCGTCTTCAACACGTGCGGGGCGTTCGAGAGCGCGTACATCAAGGGATACGGAGAGGCGCTCGACCGGAAGGTGTGGGCGGTCGGACCGCTCTGCCTTCTGGACTCCGACGCGGAGACGACCGCCGCAAGAGGCAACGCCGCGGCCGTCGACGCCGGCCTGGTCGCCTCTTGGCTCGACGGGCGGCCGCACCGGTCCGTGCTCTACGTCAGCTTCGGCAGCTTGGCCCGCCTCCTCCCGTCGCAGGCCGCGGAGCTCGCCGCCGGCCTGGAGTCGTCGAATCGCCCGTTTATCTGGGTCACTAGGGAGACCGACGGCCTCGACGCTGGGTTCGAGGAGCGCGTGGAGGGCCGCGGCCTTGTCATCCGTGGGTGGGCGCCGCAGGTGACCATCCTGTCGCACCCGGCGGTGGGCGGCTTTCTGACGCACTGCGGGTGGAACTCCACGTTGGAGTCGCTCTCCCACGGCGTGCCGCTGCTGACATGGCCGCACATCGCCGACCAGTTCCTGAACGAGACGCTGGTCGTGGACGTGCTCAGCGCCGGCGTCCGCGTCGGTGTTAAGGTGCCGGCCTTGCACGTGTTCCTGAACCCCGAGGTGCATGGGAAACAGGTCGGGAGAGACGACATCATGAGGGCTCTGACGGAGCTGATGGATGAGGGGTCCGGAATACGGACGTCGGCGAAGAAGCTCGCGACGGTTGCAAGGGAGGCGATGGCGGAGGGCGGGTCGTCGGATCGGGATGTGGCGGATATGGTTCGCCATGTGGGGGAGCTCGCGCAGAGGAAGGAGAAGGGCGTGCCCGAGCTTGGAAACAAGGAGAAGACAGATGGTCAAGTCAAAACTTCCGCTCTAGGATAATTAGGACATGTACTAGTCCCTCCGTTCGTAATTATTTGCCGAAGAAATGGTTGTATCTACACGTATATTTTTTTAGTTCTACATATAGTATATTCATTTTATTTATTTCTATGACAAGTAATTTCATACGAGCGAGTACTAGACATCAATAACAGACCATGCCGATATGGTAAGAGAGATGTGGAGTGCACCTATTATTCCCCTTTTCCTGTCCATTTGTTTTCGTATTTTTTGTTTATTTCCGTTTTCAAGTGAAAGTGCCCTTTTCTCCGTCCTACTTAATTATTTAACGAAAATATGACACCCACGAAACAATTATGAGACCACCCTAAACCCAATCAGAAGACACCCCACCTAAGCATGTACGTTAATCACGTACAATGAATTACGCGTGTGTAGTATTGCTCTTTGTTTAACCATGTACTCTCTTCGTTTTTAAATGTAAGTTTTTTTAGAGATTGCACTACAAACTACATACGGATGTGTATATACATATTTTAGAGTGTACAATCACTCATTTTGCTTTGTATGTAGTGTAATGAAATCTCTAAAAAACTTATATTTAGGAACGGAGGAAGTATGTGTTCTTAAATCCTGTCTTTTTACTATTGTCTTTTTTGTGTCAAAAATGGCTGGCCATACAACAAGCAACCCCCACTACCCAACTACCAACCGTTTTGTTCGTATTAATTAGGCTGGACCAGCTATCAACCGTTCTACGTACACAGCGAAAGGACACCAAATACTCAAAGCACCATAGTAAATCATAGTTTGAACATGGATCATGCAAGCCATAGAGAAAACACCGGCAAAATGGTGACATTCGCCACATTCTCCAGTATGCGGAGTTCTGCCACATGGCACCCGACATTGCACGCCACCCAACAAACTTTTTTCTTTTCTTCCCCTCTCCTTTTTTCTTCTTCATTTTTTTTGCAGGAACACTTGTATTACTCATGTAATAATGTCTTTACAATCATCAAGGAAAATACCCAAGACTTCGTCTGGACCAGATCCCAGCCAAGTCATAATTCGCCCCTCAACACGAGCAAATCTAGCCAAACTATAACTAGCTTTATTCTGGACTCTCAAAACATGAGTAACACAAGTTTGCCTAAGACGCATGAGTAGTCTTATTTCATTCACCAAAGCAGCATAAATTGATCGATCGACTTCAGTAGATGTTACCATAGCCACTGCCAAGCTTGAATCCGTCTCGATAGCAACGGGCAATTCGGACCATTGTATCGCCAGAGATAAACCCTCCATGATTGCCCCTAGTTCCGCTTCAACCGCATCTCTGCAAGAGAATAACGATCTGCAAGCCGAAAATATGATTCCCCCTGTAGAGTTTCGTAGGATCATACCAGCACCTGCATTGTCAGAATCAACATAAGAGCCATCCGTGTTCAGTTTTACCCAACCCTCGTTGGGAGGCCTCCACTTGCACACCGGACCTGCGCTCTGAGGTTTGATCGCTGCACTAGTCTGATCAAAAGTCAGATATCCTTTGCCTTTAGCCGGATCCATTCCTTGATTCATTTTTATCCCTGCCAATTCTTCCAAGTATCTTTTCAGAAAGCTAACAGAGACATACATGGCCGGTGCCGGTTTATGATGTATGATTTCATTTCGCACATACCAACTTCTCCAGAAAATGAGCATCACCTTACACCGATCAAGCTCACACAATGAATCCAACGCATGAAGGAACCACTCTCTCCCATTGGGAACAAATGATTCAATAGCCGGCAGTTTCCAGACCTTCGCCATTTCCTTATACAGATCACGCCCCCGTTGGCATCTCAGAAAAGGGTGGAAATTATCCTCGATTTCCGTGCCACACACCGGACATCCGTTGACAATCTCGAGCCCTCTCTTATTCGTGTTCTACCAAGTAGGAAGGGCGTCCGTCGCCAAACGCCAAGCAAAGTTCCGGATCGTTGGAGGGACTGCACTGTTCCATATAAGTTTCCAGCAGCTCCTTCCTCCTGAAGACGACGTACTATAAGAGGCAGTTTCTGTCCCAAACGTTTCCTGGAATGCAAAGTGGTACGCCGATTTGACAGAGAAGACTCCATGTCTACCCGGTGCCCATGCAATCACGTCCTCGGCTAACCTTGGCGAAGCTCGAATCTTCAAAATCTCAATCACATCTGCCGGCAGAAAATACTGTTGTAGTGTCTCCACCTTCCAAGATCCATTTGCATTCAGCAAATCTGCAACGAAACGGATACGGCACCGTCCCTATAACGAGACCGTCTTGAAGGAGAACGGCCTCGGTATCCAATTGTCCCTCCAAACTCTAATATTCCTTCCGTTCCCCACTCTCCATATCGGTCCTCTCTTTAACAAGTCTAGGCCATGACTAATTGCTTGCCATGATGACGATGCATTACCTGTGAAGAGGTATCCTCTAACTTGCCATACGGGTAGTACTTTGGTTTAAGAATCTGGGCACAAAGGCTATCCGGGTTGGACAGTAGTCACCATGCCTGTCGAGCTAGCAACGCTTGATTGAATAACCGGAAGTCTTGAAATCCCACACCTCCCCTATCCTTTGGCTGAAGAAGATGGTCCCACCCTCTCCAATGCACCTTCCGTTTCCCATCTAGATATCCCCAATAAAAATTCCTCACCATTCTAGTCAGATCATCACACCCCGAGAAGGGGAGTTTAAAGACAACCATAATATATGTTGGCAAGGATTGGGCCACCGATTTAATCAAAACCTCTGTCCCTGGTTGAGCCAACAGGCCATCCCCCCATTGCAACAATCGTTTAGTGAGGCTTGCTTGAAGGTTCTGAAACCTGCCGTTGGACATGCGGCCAGCCGGGGTCGGAAGGCCAAGGTATCTTTCATCAAACGCCATACTTGTAACCAGCAGGGTATCCCGGACCTGCACCTGAACTGTATCAGGGGCAAGCACTCCCAAAAAATATTGAGCATTTATCATAATTTAGTTTCTGCCCAGTGGCCGCACCATACTCCTCCAGAGCAGCCCGCACACACTCAGCTTGGTTTGTCGAGGCCTCAAAAAACAGCAATGTATCGTCCGCAAACAAAAGGTGCGATATGCCCTGAGCTCTTCTACAAACTTTCACCGATGTGATATCCTCCATAGCCACCTTGTTTTCAGAATAGTAGATAATCCATCCGCCACAAACAGGAATAAGAATGGTGAAAGTGGGTCGCCTTGCCGAAGGACACACGACGGTGCAAATGAATCCAAGAGGGTTCCATTAAACTTGACTGAATATCTCACCGATGTGACACACGTCATAACCTAATCAACCCATCGATGAGAGAAACTCAACTTTTGCATCACCTGCCTCAAGTAGACCCAATCCACACGATCATATGCTTTGGAAAGATCAAGCTTATAAGCACAAAAGCTTTTTGTGGGATCTTTTCCCTGCTTAATACAGTGAATACACTCAAAGGCTATCAAGGCATTATTTGCAATCATCCTTCCCGGGATAAATGCACTTTTCTCCGGAGAAATGAGATCATCCAACAAGGGCCTCAACTGGTTAACCAAATATTTGGAAATAACCTTATAAACAACATTACATAAGCTGATGGGCCTGTAGTCAAACAACTTCGACGGATTAGTAATGTTAGGGATAAGAATAATAGAAGTGGAATTTACCCCTTCTGGCTTAATGCTTGTTTGAAAAAAAATCCTTGAACGAAGCAATAACATCGTCCTTGAGTGTACTCCAATTCCTCTGGAAAAAATGAGTCGGAAACCGTCCGGTCTCGGAGCCTTCAAAGGGCCAATCTGAAAAAGAGCATATGAAATCTCCTTTTCAGAGAAAGGAGCAACCAGCCTCGCATTATCATCCGCTGTCACTTTTGCCTCCACATGGTCCAGTATTGGCAAAGGATTTATAGATGGTCGGCCTTGAAGATGTTTTGAAAATACTCATTTGCCATCTTCCCCATCACCACACTATCCGTATGCACCACCCCAATGCTATGAGTGAGCTCCCGAATTTTATTCTTCCTCGCTCTCCAAACTGCCTTGCTCTGGAAGTACTTTGTGTTTCTATCACCTTTCTTCAGCCATGTAATTCTTGAACGTTGTAGCCATAACATTTCCTCCTGATACAATAGTTCATTAATTTTGTCAGTTATCACCCTGATTTCCGCTCGATCAGCGTTCATGTGCATCAATTCTTCTAGTTGTGTTCGAGACTTTGCCAACTCTCTCCTTATATTTCCAAATTTCCTGCTCCAAACCCCCAACGAGCTCATGGTCTTAGATAGAGCATCCTGCAGCTGCGCCAGATTCTGTGCACCGCCTACCGCCTCCCATGCCTCCCTTACTACCTCTGGCAGCGTAGGATCTCGTTCCCAAAAGAGCTCGTACCTTCTGCTGCTTTTCCCTGTCGGACCCGGGTCAGTTGAACCTCTCACCAGAATAGCTATATGATCCGAACAAGGGGAAGGAATATGAACAACCGAAGAGTACGCAAACAGATTCCTCCATGTATTGGTTGCCACCGCTCTGTCCAACCGGACTTTTACATTACTTGCACCACTCCGTTTATTATCATATGTGAATGGAACTCCAATGAATCCTAGATCAACCAAATCATAGACCTCCAAAACATCCCTAAAGGCCACCATTTGTGCTTCGGGTCTCGACGTGGTAGACATGTGTTCAAAGTTCCACATAGCCTCAATAAAGTCACCGACAACTATCCATGGCAGATCACTAACACTTCTCAAGTTCTGTAACGTCAACCACATTAAAGGTCTATTTTCCACTCCAGGTTCTCCATACACGCAAGTGACTCTCCACTGCTCAGCATCCGTATGGACTCGCACCAAGGCGTCGATATATCTATCACTCTTGTCCAAAATCTGAACGTCATAAGATTCATGCCAACATAAGGCTAGACCACCACTCATACTGTTACTATCCACGCCGCAAAAACCCTTCAACCCCAACCTTCCTCGACATCTTTTCATCTTGTCCGCCATCTGCCTTGTCTCACATAAGAAAACCAAAGTGGGGGAATGCGACTGACAAAGAATTGCTAGCTCACGAACTATTCGGCAGTTCCAACTTAGGAGATTCATTGGGCCCGACGGTCCTCCGAGCCGGAGGCCGCCTCATTTGACAATAGATCATCAACACCATCTGCCCCTTCTCATTGCTTCCTTCTCTTTACGACAGGATGTTTCCCCGGTGTGGAATTTGATGACCCCGATTCCAAAGGCTCCACTGTTTCTCCCCCACTCTCGATCATAAGTACTGTATTGGTTACCTTTCCGGCCAGATTGGGCACGGTTGACCCCTTACTGTGATGGTGCCGTCCTGACTTACCAGCCTCTTACGAGCACCCCTTCCATCCTCTCCCAAGACCAAATGATTGCCAACTGAGATGTCCATGTCAGCTAACCCTTGGTTTTCCTCACCAGCCCTGCCTCCCCCCATAGCTCATGTTCCTCCAGCTCTGCCCCCTCTACCCCCATCTCCACTTGTACCTCCATGGGGAGGGCCATTAAAGGTTCCACTCCCTCTCCCTACACCTGTTCTACCACCACCACCTCCTCTACCTCCTCTTGAACCTCCTCCCACCGGTTCGTTCGACCAATGTAACCAATCATCCCACTCACAGGAGGCCAAATCATGTGTGCCGTCTCCACATTCCTCAAGCACATGGCCCATGCAGCCGCAAAAGAAGCAAAAATCTGGTAGTTTCTCATAGCTGACCGGGTATTTCTTCCTTTCTTTGAGCATGATTGGGACGAATCTTGCCAGCGGCTAATTGACATTAACAAACACTCTAACTCGTAGATGACTCGAAGGGTTTATTCTCCCCTCATTAACAATGACTGTGAACGGTGGATTGCCAAGTTTTTTTTGCCACCTTCTCCGCTAACTCCTTCTTCCTCGTTAAGCCATCCGGAAGCCCTTTAACTCTCGCCCATAATGGATACATGTCTAGGGTATATTCAGGCACGTTTTGAATCCATCATACTCCACAAGAATCACCGGATCTCTTCTAAATTTTCATGGCCCCCCATCCATAACCCGTTTCCAGTCCCCCAAGCAATGAACCTGAGCCAAGAAGAGGTTTGGCCCCTTTATGTTGAAGGTTATGCCTTGTGCACAGGCCCAGGCGTTCCTCATAGAATTCAGGAGAGCTGCATGGCTGAAGGGTCTCATGGTATGAACCCTAAACAGAGCCAGCCACCGAACATCCCTGATTAGATCATCCACCTCCTCTGATAAATCCAGGTCATCCACCTCCTCATCGTGCAGATTCATACCATCAAAGGCATCTTCTATGGTTGGCCCTGAGCCGCGGTGAACCCTCCTCGCCATCATTATCCTCCAGAACATCTTCCTGCGCGCGCTCTGGCATCCCCGCCGAAGAAACACCACCCGACGTTGCCGCCTGGCCACCTCCTGATCCGCCTCCTTCCTGCCTCACTTCTCCCGACTGCATCTTCGTATCCACTTCCTTCAGTCCCCCCGCGCCTTCAAGGTGTTCACGATCCCCCATGCAACCTCGTCTCGAAGTAGTACGGGTGCCTTTTACCCTACCCTCGCTTAAGTTTAGGGTAGAACGACGGTAGA